CGCATTTCGACAATTTTTTATTAAAAATATTGTTTTTGAAATAAAAACTCAAATTTTTTTCAAAAACAGAGATTGATGAGAAGACAGGCTATAAAATATCATTATATTTTCTTCATAATGTTTTTTTCGCCTAAAAGTATGCTTTACAATTTTATAATTTCTTTCCAAAACAACTTGAGATTTGTCCTTAAGTAATTAATTTCCAGGAAAAGTTGTCATTAAAATGCGTTTTATAAGATAAATAATCATTAATTTGCCTTTTCTGCTTTTAAGTCCTTTAAATTATTGCAATTGGCATTAGCTAGTCTATACAATTATAACTCATTTCCTAAAACAAATATTTAAAAAAATTAACGGTTTTCTATTTTTTTTTTTTTGTAAAACTCTTGCTTTGAAGCACGAAATGAAAACCTTTAAATGTTAAATGAAATTGAAGAAAATGGAAAAGGAAAATACCAACAAACAGGCAAATTTATGCCAACTAGACAAACACAATTCGAAATGTTTATATTAGAAAATAAACATATGCATTAAAGCAAAAGCAAAAAGGCACCCGCTAAGCAAAAATGAAAATAACAACAACAACAAAAAGGACTACTCCAAGCCATTATAGCAACAACAAGACTAACATCTTTCAATATATATAAAAAAAACACTATTGCATACTATACGGCAGACATTAAAAGAGATGACAGGCAGACGAAAAGGAATATGATGAAAGATTGGCGAAAGGACAATCACATGGTTGGGGTACAGAACTAAACTGAACAGAATAGAGAAGAAAAAAAAGGTACTCGAGCACACATAAAATGGATGAGCCAGCGTTGATGGCTTAAAAAAAGTGCAATAGTTGCTGATGATAACTGAGAATGAGGCTGCTGACAACAACAACAAAAACAACACCGCCACCACGGACACACAAGGCTAAGAACACAGACGGTCACTTCAAAGCAGCTGAAAACTGTATAGTATTAAATGAGTAGCTAAAACGAATGAATGTCCTTTTCGTCCGTCTTTTTTTTTTAATTTTTGTGAACAAAAAGAATAAAAACTAGAAAAAAAGGTTAGATTAAGCTGCCTTTATCTGGAAATGGAAAAAAGATGATGTTTAACTACAAAAAATAATATATTTAAACAGAGCAAAAGTTTTCTTTTTGAAAAAAAAAAACAACAAGGAAATGGTTAGTTGTGGAATTAGGAAGAAGAGAGAGAAATTTTAAATTTTGTTAAGGGATAGGAGGTAACTGTTCTGCCATGATAACTGTTTGCTATACCAAGGTTTTTGAAGGTATCTTACCCACACATAAATGTTTTTAAACATATATAAAATGATTTTGATTTTTTAGTTTTTTTTATAATACTTATACAACCAAAATAAGAGGATGAAATAAAGAAGGAGTAGAAATAACTACAAGGGCTGCACATAAGGATACAAGTTTAGTAGAAGTAAAGCCTAACCGAACTAAATAAGAACTAGAACAGAACTAGAACAGAACTAGAACAGAACTAGAACAGAACTAGAACAGAACTAGAACAGAACTAGAACAGAACTAGAACAGAACTAGAACAGAACTAGAACAGAACTAGAACAGAACTAGAACAGAACTAGAATAGAACTAGAACAGAACTAGAACAGAACTAGAACAGAACTAGAACAGAACTAGAACAGAACTAGAACAGAACTAGAACAGAACTAGAACAGAACTAGAACAGAACTAGAACAGAACTAGAACAGAACTAGAACAGAACTAGAACAGAACTAGAACTAGAACAGAACTAGAACTAGAACTAGAACTAGAACAGAACTAGAACAGAACTAGAACAGAACTAGAACAGAACTAGAATAGAACTAGAACAGAACTAGAACAGAACTAGAACAGAACTAGAACAGAACTAGAACAGAACTAGAACAGAACTAGAACAGAACTAGAACAGATCTAGAACAGAAACTAGAACAGAACTAGAACAGAACTAGAACAGAACAGAACAGAACTAGAACAGAACTAGAACAGAACTAGAACAGAACTAGAACAGAACTAGAAACAGAACTAGAACAGAACTAGAACAGAACTAGAACAGAACTAGAACAGAACTAGAAACAGAACTAGAACAGACTAGAACAGAACTAGAACAGAACTAGAACAGAACTAGAACAGAACTAGAACAGAACTAGAACAGAACTAGAACAACTAGACAAACTAGAACAGAACTAGAACAGAACTCGAACAGAACCTAGAACAGAAACTAGAACAGAACTAGAACAGAACTAGAAACAGAACTAGAACAGAACTAGAACAGAACTAGAACAGAACTAGAACAGAACTAGAACAGAACTAGAACAGAACTAGAACAGAACTAGAACAGAACGTAGAATCAGAACTAGAACAGAACTAGAACAGAAAACTAGAAACAGAACTAGAACAGAACTAGAACAGAACTAGAAACAGAAAGCCTAGACGAACTAGACAGAACTAGAACAGAACTAGACAGAACAGACCTAGAACAGAACTAGAACAGAACTAGAACAGAACTAGAACAGAACTAGAACAGAACTAGAACAGAACTAGAACAGAACTAGAACAGAACTAGAACAGAACTAGAACAGAACTAGAACAGAACTAGAACAGAACTAGAACAGAACTAGAACAGAACTAGAACAGAACTAGAACAGAACTAGAACAGAACTAGAACAGAACTAGAACAGAACTAGAACAGAACTAGAACAGAACTAGAACAGAACTAGAACAGAACTAGAACAGAACAACCAGAACAGAACTAGAACAGAACTAGAACAGAACTTGAACAGAACTAGAACAGAACTAGAACAGAACTAGAACAGAACTAGAACAGAACTAGAACAGAACTAGAACAGAACTAGAACAGAACTAGAACAGAACTAGAAAAGAACTAGAACAGAACTAGAACAGAACTAGAACAGAACTAGAACAGAACTAGAACAGAACTAGAACAGAACTAGAACAGAACTAGAACAGAACTAGAACTAAACTAGAACAGAACTAGAACAGAACTAGAACAGAACTAGAACAGAACTAGAACAGAACTAGAACAGAACTAGAACAGAACTAGAACAGAACTAGAACAGAACTAGAACAGAACTAGAACAGAACTAGAACAGAACTAGAACAGAACTAGAGCAACTAGAACTAGAACAGAACTAGAACAGAACTAGAACAGAACTAGAACAGAACTAGAACAGAACTAGAACAGAACTAGAACAGAACTAGAACAGAACTAGAACAGAACTAGAACAGAACTAGAACAGAACTAGAACAGAACTAGAACAGAACTAGAACAGAACTAGAACAGAACTAGAACAGAACTAGAACAGAACTAGAACAGAACTAGAACAGAACTAGAACAGAACTAGAACGAACTAGAACAGAACTAGAACAGAACTAGAACAGAACTAGAACAGAACTAGAACAGAACTAGAACAGAACTAGAACAGAACTAGAACAGAACTAGAACAGAACTAGAACAGAACTAGAACAGAACTAGAACAGAACTAGAACAGAACTAGAACAGAACTAGAACAGAACTAGAACAGAAACTAGAACAGAACTAGAACAGAACTAGAACAGAACTAGAACAGAACTAGAACAGAACTAGAACAGAACTAGACAGAACTAGAAACAGAACTAGAACAGAACTAGAACAGAACTAGAACAGAACTAGAACAACTAGAACAGAACTAGACAGAACTAGAACAGAACTAGAACAGAACTAGAACAACTAGAACAGAACTAGAACAGAACTAGAACAGAACTAGAACAGATCTAGAACAGAACTAGAACAGGACTTTATCTTTTTATTCTTCTTGAATTTTAAGTTTGTGGATAGTTGTGTGTGTGTGTTAGAATTGAATTCGTTCTCTGTAGGTTATGCTTAAAGTTCACTGCTTTTAAATAGTTACTTACTTCGTTTGCCAATAGAGGGATAAGAGCTTGTCGTTCTAGTTTGAAGTTGTTTTTTCGGCATAATTTTCTTAGTTTCTAAGCAGAACAGTTCTAAAAAATCTCTTACCCCTTTCTGGTTAAGAAAAATAAATCTTTAAAAGGAATCCTTAAACATATCATACAACAGTTTTCTCGAAATTTTTGTAAAATTATGAAAAAAAGTAAAATTTTTAGTTCTGTTTAAAAATCCTCATGAACCATACCTTAAGTTATTAAAATTTACTCCTTACCTAAGACAAACAAAAGCTTATATGTTGTTGTAAGGATTAGTTTTTGCTTATAACATTGTTGTTATGGCAAGACATTTTGTGGCAAAAGGTGTTGCTGCTGCTGCTGTTTTGAATTTGAAAACAGTTAGTTAGTTGTGGATGGTAGTTTCAAAAACTTTTGTTACCCTTTTGTTTAGAAAAACAGAATTTTGACTTTTTACGTTTTTTCTTATTTCTTTAAAACAAAAAAATCCTTTTTAACATGGTCTATTTACGAGTCAAGAAAATACTGTTTAGAACCCCTTTTACTAAAAATGTCTTAAATTGTCTTGATTTGGGATAGACAGATTAAACAAAAAAACCAACAAAAACTAATTTGGTATAAAAACCCTCTACGTCTTTCCTTCCATAATTTACACCCATTTCCCTCTGTGTTGGTAAGTGTATGTTTTTGGGTGGGTGGCCAGTAACTCCCATTTCTTGGCAATTTCCTTTTTCTCTCTCTCCCATGAAAAGTTTTTCTTTTAAGAATAAAAACAAAATAAAACTGATTTTTGCTGGCTCTGAGCAGGCATGATGTTTGTTTGTATATCCTTCTAGCTAGCCCCTGTAAATATGCTGTAACAAACCGTCGGTGTTTTTTTTTCACATTTTCATCATCTGACCATTTGTTATACAAAAAAAACGGTATATGAGTATTACTAACTCCTAGTTGTTGTTGTTCATCAATTCCAAGTGATTCTATCATCTATATGGTTCTTCATTTTATTTCATTCATTTATTTTATTTTTATTTTTTTGTTCACATTTCTTACATTTGAGCCATCCTGGCTGGCTGGCTGTATTGTGAGGCAAATACAAAAAAATAGAAGAAAAATAGAAAGCCAAGTATAAGAAAAAGTAGAAAATACAAGTACAACAACAAAAAAGGATATTTTTAGCTATAAATGTTAAGAGTTTAGCAAAAAAGTATTTATGTTAAAATGTGTGCTTGTGTGTGTGTGTGTGTATGTTTGTGTGCTGAACAGTAGGATAAGGAGGTCCTGTTTGTTTGTATTTATTTGAAATTGTAATATAGCAAGCGGGGGATTATTACAACTGCCATGACGATGTTCTTCATTTTCATTTAAACGTCAAAGTGTTTTCTTCTTGTAAATATTTGTAAGTATGAGTGTTTTGGTGTTCCTTTTTGCCATTAAGGAACAGTTACCCACCATACTCTGTTACCGTTTCATTTAATGCGTTGTAATGTTTCTATTTTTGTGAAAAAATCTTTAGGTTATAGAAGACTTAAAGATGATCTACTGTTTCTGTAGAAAACCTTTGTCAAATTTTTTAAACTCAGAAACTCCAGATACATTTTTTTGTTGGTGTTTTAAAGAAATATATATTGATCGATTGGAAATAGTTTTAAGGCTTTCAAAAACTATTATTTGAATTATAAATGTTGTTAAACTTACAACTATAGACCCTTAATCAATGATTTCCATAACATGTTATCGAAATCAAAGTTCATCCAGTTTCTGAAATAACTCTAGCTTCGCTACTGAACGACTCGATTCATACTCAATTGAAGATTTTCATTTCATCTAACAGAAATAACCGAACAACAAAATCTCGAAGATTGCCGTGTAGTCCACTCGTAATTCCTCTGTTTTTCTGAGATACTTGGATCTTTACGGCGTCATGTACAATGTTGAAAAGCAATGGAAGTAGGACGCAACTTTCGTCAGTGGAATTTAGACGTTTAGTTTTTGTTCATGACTGGACGCATCTTTAACTAATGGAGTTTAGACATTTAGTTTTTGTACGGCAGGTGGCGCTGTAGTAGTCGGATGATTTTAATTGGGACACTTTTGCATTCTAGTGAGATTCAAGATTACATTTCGTTCATCGCTTTTTCATGTCTAATTGCTTAACGTGAACACCTGCCTTCACGGTGGTCTTTTTCATCCACTGGGTAAAGAGGTCTACTAAATAAGTACCAGTCTCCGGTCGAGCAGATGAGTCTTTCCCGATCGTTCACCAACGTGCATCAGTTCCATCCTCATACCATAAAGAACGATCTACGGAATGACAGGTAACTACCAAGTGTCAACCTGATAATTCCCCAACCTATACTGGTGTCATACTACGTGAAGAGTAAGAGATATTAATCGGTTTCAGGAATCCAGCATTAAGTTGCTTTGTCACATCACTGACACCTGTTGAGATGGCAACAGCACCGGAGAGAGAATCCATACATATATGGCATTTGGATATATTAGTCCTTAAACCAACATTCTCTCCCCGCGAATTTGGGTTTAAACCACAGCCACTACGTGGATCACTAAGGATCCCTAACCAATTGACCGGTTATGACTACTGGCTTGTGGGCAACCGGCTACCCGTAGTGCCAGATTATATGGTGCTCTGGTTCGATGCAATGTCAAATCATTCCAAGGAAAGGCCGAGTATACATTTGATCATTACCAGTTTATAGTTCCGGCAGACTAGAGCTTTTCCCCGGAATATTGCCATAACACCATGATGGAGATTTCACCAAGATAACATGCCGCCGAGGGGAAGGCTTTTTCCAACAGTTTTCCAATATGTTGCCATAGTCGACGTAGAATTGTTCCTTAGACTAGGTGGCACCTGATCTGAGTCGCTTATTGATGATGTCCGCCACTGTTTTATTCATTTTGATGCGTATTCTTGTCGATTCATATATGTTGCCTTTCTGTTGCAGCAGACTTATAATTCACTTCATTCAGAGTTCAGATAACAGTGTTTCGCTATCTCAGGAGTTCAATATGATCGGATACAGAAGATTAACGCTTAACATACAGTCTGCTTTGACTAACTCTGGTGGTATGTTGTCAGGACTTCAGAGATGAAATAAGTGGTGTCGATTGTCCTCCTGGTGTTGCAGATGTTTGAGTTGGTGCTAAAAGAAATGTTGGGTCCATTTAAAGTTGGTGGCAGAGAATGTAAAGTTCGCTAATTGACACACTAATCGAAAGAGATATCGGTTTGAGATAGGTTCTGCAGCTTGCGCTTCAGTTGCAAGTCCTATGCTGCATGGCCTTTTATCAGCTTTTGCGCTTGTTGCGAATGTAGAGATAGATTACTCTACTATTACGAGGAATGTGTTAATATGGACGGATCGATCGACAAACTGATAGTCGCTTATTGACGATGTACGTGATTATATTAGTCACTATAAAGTGTGATTCCTCTCCAATAAATTTATTTAAAGAGATTGCCTTTCTTTGGCAGCAGAGTTCGAATTTCCTCCATTCAGATTACAGTGTCAGATATAATCGGATACAGGAGTTCAGAGCACAGAATACAGCCTGCTGAATAGCTGAATAGCTCTGACTAGCTTTATTGGATAAAATCGCTAATGATATATCGTAAATACTCGAGTGTGATGTATCCCTCAGGATAGCTGGTGCATTTAAAAATTATGTAAAATAATCTTATCTGCTAAAGCGAATGATTAGAGGCCTTAGGGTCGAAACGATCTTAACCTATTCTCAAACTTTAAATGGGTAAGAACCTCACCTTTCTTGGTTTGAAGGTTGTGATTGTGATATAATGTGCCCAGTGGGCCACTTTTGGTAAGCAGAACTGGCGCTGTGGGATGAACCAAACGTAATGTTATGGTGCCCATGATGTTTGTCGACGTTTGGGTTGATGCTGTGTTCGTTAATTGACTCACTAATTTTAGTGAACAGCCCTACCATTGAGGTTATTGCAGTACACAGGAACTAGTGTCCCGCAGGGCAGCGTTTTGGACTTTGCAGCATGTTCACGTGGTGGTTGTGGTTGAAACCAAATTTTCGGGAAGAAAATGTTGATTTAAAGACTGATGTACTTCGAAATCAATATTTCGGAATAAGTTCGGTACTGTTGCCGAAATCATAGCAGAAATGGGAATGATTTGATGGAAATTAGAATATAGAATGATTCAAAGGTTTGCGTAGTGTGTCAGATGTTCTTCTCTATCAATGGATTTGATAATAGAGTTGTATGATGGGTTGAATGGTGAAGGATATACGGTATTCCTAATCGATTAAATTCCCTTCTCCGTTCTGGTATAAATATACCAGACATACTATACTGTGTCACCTGTAAGTAAGAACTTAGGTTTGACATATTTGATGGATTCGAACTTTGGTCCATCGATTGGCTTTATAGTTGCTACTGCCGTAGCAGCATACCGAGTAAAGTAAATGTACATGGTGTTATATCCGCCACCTGGGAATCATTAGAGGAGGTGACGGATCGCCTCTAGCACACTATATGGTTAAGAAAGAGCACCCTGTAATAATAACTTAAAGCACTACGGGTTTATCCTGTTCAGTTTACTGCCATATGTTTGTTGGATTCTAGGTTTTAAAGTCTGTGATCGATTCAATCAGGTCTAGACTTTAACAGAGGCTGGGACCCGTTAATAGTACACTTTTAGTAGTACTTTTAGAACATCGCTTGTTATATAATTATACCTTTTACTGAATCCTTGATAGCTTTGCATCTAATCCTTTTATTTTTGAAAATGTTATTCTAAGTATTCGCTACCGAACTCCTGCCTTAAGTTTCAATGCTTTAACAAATTTAATTTTAATGTTTCTTATAAATTCCTTTTAAATACATCTATATTACAAATACAAATAGAGAATTTTCTTTTTCCATATACAATATTACTTATACAACTGAAAACAATTTTTGGGCATATTTCTAAAATAGAAAAGAGAACGATTACGGGGAAATGAATAGAAAAGCTAGAAAAAAGAAAAAAAAAATATCAAGAAAGCAAAAAAAAAAAAATACAGTAACAAGTTGTTGATGTTGATGAGTATGAACAGAGAGCACACACAGCTAGCAAGGATATACAGCCACAGCCAAGGACTAAGATGCTAAAATGTATGCGAAAAGTGGAAGGAGTTAGGCAGCCGGGCTGTAAGTAGGTGGTGATGGTGGTGCGGTGGTTGTTTGGTTGGCTTAGCAAAATTGTAACGTTTGTGTTTTTTTCCTAGTATTTTATTCCTTCATCTTAAACAATTCAGCAGACAGAAAAATTTGCCAAGAACTTAAGGATGACAATGCCATTGAAGAAGAGGAGTAGTAGAAGTAGTAGTAGTAGTAGAAATAGCAGTGGTTGTAGCAGCTAGTAGAAAGCAGGGCATATTAGATGCTACATATCAAGCTGCCAATTCAAATGGTAGAAAGGAAAAAAAACACAGTTTGCTTTTTTTGTTGTCTTATATTCCAAAGAAGTATCGGAACATTTATAGGGATGTATACGCAGAAAAAAGGTTAAAGCAATCATCTTATAGTTATTAAACACAATTCAAACATATTATGGTTACTGCAAACATATTATAGTTAACGACGAGTTTAAATTTGTCTTTTTAATGATTGTCGCAATCATAAGTATGATAAAAGCAAACATATTTATGTTTATTACCATCAATTTTGTTAAATAGTATCAGAAACATAATTGTGGCAATAATTGTCATATTGTGTTAAACATAATATGTTTGCAATCACTAACACTGACCATAATAATGTTGAATCTTAACCTGTTGCAACTATACTTTTTCTCTCAGTGTTGATATCTATAGCTAGGCTAAGGATTTGGCTAGATGAGGTATAGGATTGTGATGGGTGGTAGAGAAGAAAATAGAAAATACTTTTTCATTACTATAAGATGTTTCGTAGAATCATAAAGGACGGACAGCTATACATTTTGCTATATTGGTTTCTTAACTAAAAAGGAAAAAATAGAAATATGTTTTTTTCATAAATTTAAAGGAACAGCTTAAAGTTGACTTGGTCTAGAGTAATGTTT